CGGGGAGGGTAACACAGGATGGCGAATATTAGTTCCGCCTGGAGTTAATTCTGGCAAGATAGAAAGAGGAGTGAGCGAGCACAAAATGTGAAGACGGGGAGAAATTCTTTACCGAGTTGCAGCACACAAATTAAGAGAAGACAACGCTCTCCGCTCTAGGGACTGTTGTGCTAAGAGATTATCGGTGCTGAAGTCTTTAAGATTCAACGTACTTCGTGTTTTACTATCGTGTCCATACGACGTGGGGAACTCTGTGCCACCCCTTTAACCCTATCCGTACGTCGTGCTTTACTATCGTATCCATACGACGTGGGGAACTCTGTGCCACCACTTTCCAAAGAGGAAATTTACTCGTTAATCTAATCCGTATGCTTTGCATAGCAGTCTGTCAATATGATTTTTGAGAAATACTGAACGTTTCAAAGAGATCTTCGTACTATAAGTATTTTAAAATGTGAAGAATACAACCCCAGGGGTACAACATGACCCCAGGGCGTACGGATAAGGTTAAGTCTCACAAGAGTTAATGTCTCCAGTGAGCAATGGCTCGTCCTTCTCTCTCCTCCGTTTTTGTGTATGTCACTCTCTTGTAACACCTCTAATCTTCGGCACTTATATGACCTTATTGTGTTGCAAGTGCCGTAAAACTCTTACTAAAACTTAAGTGAGCAATGAAAGCACGTTGTAACAGCCCAGAACCTGTTACCTGTTTAAGTTTTGGTTTTTGAAAAGAGTTTTAGGGCACTTGCAAATAATATAGATCATGAAATAAGTTCCAAAGACAAGAGGTGTTACTAAAGATACACAAGGAAAAGAAGACGAGAGATTAAGTCGATAGATGTTTGATAGGAATGAAGGAGCAAATCAGAGCACTTGCCAACCTTTATTTTATCTGCACTAAAAACAAAATAAAAGAATAAACGCATACAATATGTTTTAGACCAAACTATGAACAGATTGGTGTTCTATTTCAACTTTATTTTCTATCCACTTTGTACCCACTTCTCTCTCCTCGACACACACATTTAAATATCGTAATTAGAACAATGTGTTGAATGTAATGGGGACATTGAGGATGCAACATTGCACATAGATGATGATGATGATGATGATGATGATGATGATGATGATGATGATGATGATGATGTTGAGGACAACGACAACGACGACGATGATCAGGGAGGAGGACTAAATGGATCAGGGCCTGTTTGAGGTAGTGGTCTCACATTCAACCACAGCTTGGCTTGATCCCAGTTCGGAGACCATTTATTGACCACCAGCTGATCCGGATGAAGAT